GCTGCATTTGGGCGCCCGAGTTGGGCGTCCAGTGCAATTTTATTTTATTTTTTTAATGTTCGAACGCCCATCTTGGGCGTTCGAACATTTTTTTGAGAAAAAAAAAAAGCCCTACAAATCGATTTGTAGGGCTTTTTAACATGAAATTGGTTCCGTAATCATCCTACCCAATGCATATTACACATAAAAGGGTTGAAATTACATCAAAAAATCGAAGCCCAACCCTTATTCAAGCTTGATTTCAAATTTTCGATTTTTTTTTTCGCTATTTGCAGTTTTGGGGGGTTTTTTGATATTTTTAAAAGTTTTGGGAATTTTGTTATAAACTGCGAATAGCAATTTTGTGACCGCAAATAGCATTTCATATAATTAATTATGTAATTTAACCAATTGCAAAATCAAAGTGGTGTATATACCCATTAAAATGCAAATATTTTAAATTTTTCTTTACATTATTCCTCATTAAGACCAAAAAATCTAATGATTCTTGAGAAAATAAATACATTTCTGGCTACACTAACTCATTTAATTCCACTTCATTTGCATTAAATATTAAATATTAAAAAACTTCCTTCCAATAATTGTTGAACTTCTCTCAGTCTGCACAAAACAAAATAAGAGACAGATTCTTGTGAACAAAAAAAAAAATCATAAAAAATGAGATAAAATTAATTTATTAATCATAGTAAAAATATCTATATATCATAATTAATTTCATGATGTAAAAAAAGGTCACCTTAAAACGATGAACTCCCGAAATGCTCGGACTTCTCGATTGTCAGATAGTTTCCTCACATGAAGTACAATGCACTAATCTGACGAAAATGCCCTTCCCCTACCTTCAACTAATCTCGATTATTTTGCCGTACTAATGACTCTCGGGCAACCTGCGAGGGGGTGCATAAAGAATTTTTACGCTAACGAGATTTTTAAAATGAAGAATATTATTATTAATACTATTTAAACTTAAAAACCATACATTATAAGTGGCTAGTTTATTTTATAGGGGGCAAATACACTAAAATATAGAAATGAAAATTTAAAAAAAAAATCGTTTTTTTTTTCGTAAAAACGTAAGATTAATTAGTGGATAAGGGTACTAACTAACCTCCATGGAAATTCACTTGTATCTATTCCAGCTTGATGTAGTTCATCTACATACTGCAGTGCTTCTCTGCATTCCTCTCTATCGTCAAAGAACTCCTTTTTCCCGCCTTCTATTTGATATGTTTCGTGCCCTTTACCAGCTACCACCTATCGGAAATTTAAAAAAAAAAATGATTTTTTTTTTTTAAATTTAATTTTCTTGTCTGAAAATAAATTTTGTGAGATAAAGAGCAATAATAGTACGGGAACTTACAACCATATCGCCTTCTTCGCCCATGGCGACAGCACACCGTACGGCTACGCGCCGAATATCGTGCAAAAACAGCCTATTACCGTTAGCAAGAGGCGGGTAATAATCATTTTCTCCGTGTTTTAAGTAATCTTGCATTGTCCATCCTATTCCAGACAGCATGTCGTCCAATATGTCCACTGCCAATCAAATATAAAATTAAATACATACGTACGTACATACATACATATATACATTTGAAATACTTACACGGATCTTCGTTGTTTGGATTGTCTGATGTTAAGATAGTGACGTCACTTTTCTCTGTTGCTATTTTTGCCATCATCGGCCTCTTCCCTCTATCCTTCTCTCCGCCACAACCAACCACTTCAAGAAACCACGTAAGAAAATCGAGTCAGAAAAAAAAATTCGGGATTAAATTCCATCGAAAAATTGCAGTTTTTTTTATATATGAGTGATATAGTCAATATTGTACGCCCTCCGTTTCAAAATAACTGTGGCTTAAGGTTTCGACACTAACATCAAAAAAGCTAATAATGTAATACGACTAAAGTACCCCCCTTCCGAATAATTCTCTTTCCATCAATCACTCTCCACCGGTGACGAGTAATAAAAAAAGCGTAATCAATGCAACATTGGAATTCTAAGGCGACAAGTACTATTGAACAAAAATATTTCTTCCCGAACGACAATTATTTTTTCTAACAAACGAGTAACTGAATTATGAAACAAACAATTAATTTCAATAATTCTTGCATGAAACACATCGAGATTTCGATCACAAAGTCACAAACACTTCCTTGCAATTAACATATGATTGATGTAAATTTCACTTACCGAAATAAATAAATAAATAAGAAGCCGTATACGAACGTACCAGTAATAATCCTCCTAGGCGAAAGCTCTCTGACAAAATCAAGAAGCCTCGACAAAGCATCGGGCGTATGCGCATAGTCCACAATAACTCCAAACGCCTGCTCTTCGTCGATCAACTCACACCTCCCTGGCACTGCATCGACTTCCTCGATCCCTCTCACAATATCCTCCAAAGGCGCACCCACCGCAATTCCCACAGCAACCGCCGCAAGAATGTTACACACGTTGTGCCGCCCTAGCAGCCCCGACGAAATCTCCAAAATACCCTCCGGCGTATTCACCAGAACCTGCGTCTCGAAGAGGGACAGCTCCACTTTCAGAGGGTAAACATCAGCATTCTTGTTCTCCATCGCGAACGTCACCACAGGCACGTCCGGATTCCCTTTCGAAATAAAGAAGGGCGCGTTCGGATCGTCTATATTCACGATTTTACGGTGCCTTTCCGGGTCCACCATCTTCGAGAAAAGCTTCGCCTTTGCTTCCCTGTACTCCTCGTGGGTCCCGTGAAAATCCAAATGATCCCTTGTTAAGTTTGTGAAAACCGCTATATCAAAATCGATCTCGTCGCACCTTCCTAAAGCTAAGCCATGTGAAGAAGCTTCCATAACAAGTGCTTCCGTACCGTTGTGCACCATTTTCGCCATCAATTTCTGAACCAAAACTGCATCAGGGGTCGTTTTGGTCGATTCCAATTTGTTGTCGCCGTGAATGTAATAAGCAACAGTGCTCAACATACCCGTTCGCAGCCCCATTGCCTCGTACATGCCTTTGATCAAGTACGAGGTTGTTGTCTTTCCGTTTGTGCCCGTTATACCGATCACGGACAAGCTTCTAGAAGGATGCTTAAAGAACGAAGACGCTAACGCAGCAAGAATTACGCTTGTGTCCTCTACGATGACCAACGCTTTACATCCTAACGTGTCGTCTATGTCGATTTCTTTACTGGCGATAACTGCAACCGCACCTCTCTTATCCGCCTCGGATAAATACAAATGCCCGTCGGTTTTTATCCCCACGCAACATACGAACAAATCGCCGCTCTCTACGAGACGAGAATCGTGGGAAATACCCTTGATTTCGATATTTAAGTTGCCGTAAACAGAAATCGGAACCACTTTGCTTTCGTCTAAAAGCTCGGCTAATGTCATTTTGAACTTCGGCTCGACAATTCTAGCCTTGGTTTTGCCAAATTCATCCAAATCGAGGTCGAACGAGTTCGAGAATTCGCCTTCGCCCATCTCGAAATCGGGCTTCATCCCAATTCCATCTTCGCCCTCGTCGTCGTCGGAGATATCGGCCAGCCCTTGAAGCTCGGTGATTTCGTCCAAATCAACGACCTCGTCGGGCTCCAATTCATCGGCAATTTCGGCTTCCAGGTCGGGAATTTTAACCGGGCGGGGCTTAATCAACCCCTTCTTGATGAATTCCTGGCGTTTCATGGCGATGGCGATGTCGATTTCACCGAATAGGTCGTCGCCGGAGTCGTCGCCGTTGACGGAGGCGGGGGAATCCTCGGTTTCCTCGAGGGCTTTGAGGAATACGGGGAGGTCTTTCTCGTACTCTTCCTCCTGGAGCTTGCGCGCGCGGGCGGCCTGGCGTTGGATCTGCTCGAACTTGTTGACGCCGTGCATGGAGTCTTCGGGGGCTTCCGGTGGGTCGTCGTCGGAAGGGTTTGGGTAGTATTTTCCGTCGGGGCCGATGGCGGAGACGGCGGTCGAAGAGGAGAGCGGTTGTGGTTTGAGGTGGAGGGTGAATGAGGCGGTGGTGGAAGTGGGTTTGAGCTTTGAGTAGAAGGAGAGAGGCGGCGGCGGAGGGAACGGTGGCAGAGAGAGGAAAACGAGGGGCATGTTTGCTGTGTGTGCGTATGAGTAGAGAGAGAGAGAAAGGGAGGAGAGAGAGAGAGAGAGAGAGAGAGAGAGAGCGCCGGAGAAGAAAGGGGGTTTAGCTCTACTCTGTGACAGTGGAAGTGGAAAGGATAGGGGTTTTGGGCTAATTAGTAATTAGGCCAAATTCCACTTTTCCCCTTATACTTTAGTTCAATATCACTTTACCCCTTATTCTCTTGATTACATCGACTTTTGCT